CATGGGGCGGCTCATTCACAAACACAAGTCTAACTTAAGTTTCACACTGTTTCTTGTGTGTAAAATCTGAAATGACTATGGTGTTGATTTAAAATGTGCTTTGGCACATCACTTGCTACTGACAACAAGAAAAAAAGCCGGTCTGTGCTATGGGTTGAACCATTTGTTAACGGTGGGTGGGAGGGGGGTAACACTATGCAATATATTCAGTTTTAGAATGTGTATTTCAGGGTTAACTGTAGCTAGGCTCAAAGTGTTAATGCTGTCTTATTTTAATAAACAACACTGTCATATGCAAAACTAGGGTGGCACTTAGGGTGGCAAGGGATCATTTTAGGGTGGAACATGCCACCTTGAAACCTTTGAGAACACATCTCAAAGGTGTTCTGTTGAATTGAGATTTAAAGACTGTGGAAGCCATCTGAGTACATTGAACTCACTGTCATGTTCAAGAAACCAGTCTGAGGTCATTTGAGCTTTGTGAAATAGTGCGTTATCCCACTAGGGATAGTGTACTAGGCAGAAGATGGGTGCACTGTAACAATGCCTGGTTGGTGCTAAGGAACCCAAAGTGTGGTAAGAAAATATCCCACACAGAACTGTTGAAACAAGGGAGCTGTCACGCTGTTTATGCTAAAAGACTAGCATCTGAATGCTGCAGTAGAAATCGAGACTCATAATATCCGGCAACATTTTTCCAGTCTTCTGTCCAACTTTGGTCTGTGTAAGCTGTAAGCCTCAGTTTCCTGTTCTTAGCTGACAGGAAGTGTCACTCAGTGTGGTCTTCTGCTACTATAACCCCCATGTGTTGTGCATTCAGAGACGCTCTCCTGCACACTTTGGTTGCAATGAATAGTAATTTGAGCTACTGTCTGGCCATTCTCCTCTGACATTTTCACCCACAGAACTGCTGCTCACTCAGTATTTTCTCATTTTCAGACCACTCTCTGTTGGTAGAATGTGATCACACATACACACCGTGATCTGACTACTTCATATGAAAAAGGCCAATTCACATAAAGTAAGAATTAATGTTTATTGAACTTTCACAATGTAGTCTGATTAAAACTGCTACTTTTTTTTTTTTTTTTTTTTACAGTCAATGTTACATCAGTGCATAAAGAAATAAATAAAGTAATAAAGGGGTAGTCTTTATGTGGAATGTACCAATGTTATTCTACATTTGTAAGAAGAACAGATTAATAACAGATCAATGCCTCTAAATGTAAATGTCAAATGTAATAGCAAAAAACACAAAACTACACGAATCTAAAAGTGCTTTTTCATCAACACAAATACAAGCGCAAAAACGTAGAAAAGCCTCCACACTTGAACCTTTTTCTTGCTGCTACCAAATCTGGTCTGCAATCCGGAGTAGATTTGGAACAGTTTAGTCAGACTTAGCTGCACGGTCACTGTAGTGTAAGGTTGAATATTTAAAAGAAGAAAAAAAAGGTTCCCGTCCCATGCCCAGTCTGCAGGTCTTTCATATCATTGGAAGCAACAACTACAAAATGTGACATTTGCTGCTCAGATCCTGATTGGTTCTCGAGTGGTCGTGTGACACTGCGGCATTTCCGCGTGCTTAAAAAAGAAAAGAAAAAAGAAATTCTGTGTTGTGTTTATGACAGGTTACAGTGTAACATAGTGTTATCTTTACGCTGTTCTCGTCTGACAACATGAGGTACAAAATCACAAGTGTCACCTTCTCACTGATTGCAAACACTACACACAGCTACGAATACACATAAATATTCAGCTACGCTCTCATCGGCCATCATTCACACAGCTCTCGCTGCCGAGGACAGTTAACTTTACACGTGGTGTTCTATTATGGAGTAGTAAAACAAAGCACGAGTCACGCAGTGAGATAACAACCGGGGGTTTGATATGAAATCACAGTTTAGCAGCTTAATCTACCTGATTAAATAGCCCTAATGGTTACATTTGTTAGTGCGTCAGAGAGAAAAACGTACAGGAGGTACTTAATAGCTTTGCTATAGACTGTCAGCCTTCGTTAGCTCCAATATAATCCTTTTCAACACAACTTTGTGCGTCAAATTGAGGCAACTGTGCCGATGCAACTCCTTTAGGGTGCTTCGAAATTAAAGCAAAGATCAAAACTGCATTATATGCACCGTCACACAGCGGCAACGATATCCTTTACCCAGTTGTCACCCACATATTGTGGTCTTGGAAACAATAGCTGTAAGCTCCTATTTATTCACAATTAGTTGCTGCTCTACACTACATTCTTCAGCCCACACCGCTTAAGGTACTGTTGACTCTAGTAAGGCTATGGTCTATGGATTTAAGGGAAAAAAAAAAAAGCCATCTGAATGTAGTGAATCTTCCGCTTGCTCATACATCCCCATCTTCAATCCGTGCTAGCTGTCTCTCCAGCAACTCAATTCTCTGATTCTGAGCAAGCACGACGGCCCGCAGAGCTTTCATTTCTGCTAACAGCTCGCTCAACACGTCATCCTGAAAGAAGAGAGAGAGAGAGAGAAAAAACAAGTCAAAAATAGCTTCAAAAAATCTTAAATCAGCATCTCACTTGCTGCTGACCGACCTCTCTCTTTGGCCTATCGCCGTTTCCATCCGTCTCCCTCGTGGCCGCTGTCGGCTGTGGCGTCTCTTCTTCTGTCTCCTTGGCGGCAGAGGTAGGTGTGGACGTGGGAGCTGCTACGTTCCCTGCGGAAGGTGGGACGGCCCCAGTCCCAGAGTCCTGAGAGACGAGCTTGGGCTTGCTTCTGAGAGTGTCTCTGTGTTTGGATGGAGGAGCTGTGTAGCCACCACTCAGGGAGACCAGCAGCGGTGGCGCGTCCTGCCCCGCGATCCACTCGTCAGCCAGGAGGGCTGGCTCCAGGCTGGCTGTGTCTGGGTAAAGGTCTCCCTGGAACAGATCTGACTGGAGAGGAAATATGGAAACTTCATTAGCTATTAAAAAAAGCAGTTTATAAAGTCCACTTTTAAAGTATGTGTGTGCCTTACCTTTCGTGGTACAGTCATAGAAATGGGTTCCACCTTCCTCTCATGAAGCTTATAAAACCTGCCGAAAAAGCAAGGAAAAAGTCCCGTCTGACGTTATTCTGCATTATTCTTTCCCACTTTTAGGAGACTGGTCAGTTCCTGAAGTAGCTGTGTATTGTAGTTTTTACTAGTTACGGGTACGCATACTGTTCTTACCTGGCAATTTCACACTTATTGACATCCACACCTCTTTTACTCTGAAAGCCTGCACCCCTCTGAGGCTCTTTGCTGCTGTATAAGCTGAGGAAGTGAACGTACGGTGATTCATCAGTCACTTCAAAGTATCGGATGGTGCAGTCCCCCTGAAAGCCATGAGATTAACAACAAAAAAACAAAACAATCACGATGATTGACGCTGCATAGAACAAGCTAAATTTCTATTTGCCACATGATGCCAAGGCTTCACCTTCCCACACAGGTAGACCATGTTTGTGTCGGGGTCATAAAAGGGCAGCAGAACTCCATTACTCGTATCCATTTCCTGTATTACCATTGGCTCTGAGAGGTCTTTCTGTAAGATAAAAGCATTTTCACATCACTAGAATGCCCACTTTAACAATCACACATGTTTTTTGTGTCTCAAACCTTTTCCATGTGTAAAATTCAGTTCACCTGCATTAGACCACATGTCTAACAAGAAACTTACAGTATCCCACAAAGCCAGCTGCCTCTCGCTCATACGGCTGAAGCCTGTCGTCAGGATTTTTCCATCAGAGAGGAACACGGCTCTCATGGGCCTGGTACCATCATGGACTTTCTCTCTGACCTAGGAAAGCAGTCACAAGCTGATCACTGACGCGTTATACCAGAAATGAGAGCCGAGCCGTGCTCCACGCTTTGCTCACATCTTCACGGACAGCATGAATGTGAAATCACCTTGAGGACGGCGCCTCTTCGCGGATCGATGACTCGCAGGGCTTTGTCCTTGCAGACGGTACATATCGCACTGCCGTCCTTGTTCCAGCTGACATTGTAGATCAAGTCTGGGTGGGCGTCATCAAGCTGGTACACTAGCTCCCCCGTGCCCACGTTCCACACGCAGATCACATTATCACAGCCTACAGAGAGGGAAAGACAACATCCAAGGAAGAGGGTGTGAAGCCTGAAATTGTACAGGGTAAGGATGTGAGGATAAACAGATGCAGATGTTGCCGATGTTCCTATAAATTCATTTGCTTTTCTTGTTCGTCTTGAGAAAGTGACAGGTTATCGGTGCAGGTGTATTATGAATGCATTATGACTAGGGATGGGTACCGGTATCCGGTGCCATCATCTGACATAAACGGTAGTAACCAGACCGAAAAGCAGCGCACATTTCGGTGCTTTATTTCCTGAGCTGTGATACACTTCTAGCCAATCATTTTACGTTTCCGAGGATAGTAGGCGGGGCCAGGTACGTACGTTCTGTTAGAGCAGAGCTACAGATTAAAAATGTCCAAGGCGAAGCGGTCAAAAGTCTGGCTGTACTTCACAGCAAAATATGCAAACTCAGCAGCCTGCAACAAGTGCTTTAAGCTGATACTGTGATACTGTCAAAGGAGGTAACACCAAGAAATCCGATAAACACTGGCGACGCATAGCGTTTTTTTTAAAAGCCCAGAAATGCGCCGTATTTGATAGCTTGCTGCGAGACCTCACACCGTGCACGTCGGGTGGGTTGCCAGTTATCGGACCCGGAGCAACATCCCCCAAAAACCCGAAGAATAGAGTCCTGGCCCCTAGCCCTGCCAGTGTAGCAGAAATGATGAGGATGATGATGCAGCAGCAGCCGTTCTTCTCTGCGTGAGTAGCTTAATGTTGTTCGTGTGTAATTTACGTTGAGTAGGCTAACCACGTTATTACATTAATGCATGTAAGGTGAACTAGCAAACATCATCATAGCTACATGCGGCTGTCTTCTTGTTTGATGGCAGATACTCCCTTCACCCTGGCCAAAAAGGCTAAAATGACCAAAGAAAAAGTGGAAAACAGTTAAACATGAGAGGTTTTTGGACAAAGTTTGTGTTTTTTCCATTGATTTAAGCACTGCTTCCAGCCAAGAGTGATACCATATATGCCCCATAGCTGCAGAAAAGGCTAACATTGTTATCTTTTTACAAAAAAACAGCTGAACATGAGAGGTTTTTGGACCAATTTTGTGTTCTCCATTCTTTAAGCACCGTTTAAGCACCGGCACCGTTTCAAAAGTACCGGTTTGGCACCGGTATCGGATAAAACCTAAACGATACCCATCTCTAATTATGACACCATATATCAATATATAATAACAACAGGTTAGGGCGATGCTAAATTGAACAACAGTGTGAATGGATGTCTGTCTCTGTGTTAGCCCTGTGACAGATACTACCTACACACACTACCTCAGTATGTCATTAACTTTATCAAAGTAAATATTGGTAAAGTGAACTCGCGGTGAGACAAGCAAAGTATTAACTGATCTGACACATTAAAACTGAATAATAATGACAATACACACACAATAGCACAATGCAGTGAACAAATCCCTTTTGCATCTTTAAAGGAATTCCCCGATAGTTTAAAGTTGCTTAATCGAAACACCATCTGTGCCGTTTTCAGCGTATTGTATCACGGCTCGCTCTGTGATTCCAAACTGGGCTTTTCTGCCTTCTCCCTGATATGTTCTGCATCAAGTCTCAACTTCTAATTACATGTGTCGTACATGGAGTGTGTCCTATAAATGGTTGAATCCGTCTTGCTGGTGTAGTTACTTTTCTCCATCAGTGGCAATGTCACAAACAATCACATCATTTCCTGCCTAATTTTGAACAAGTCATTGTTGTTGATCTTTCACATAAAAGATTCATTTATTTGTGTTGTTAGTTTAAAGAAGATGTAGCTAGAGTGGAAAGACGAGTCGATTCCTTGCACTTCAGGCCAATATTTTAATTGAAATGGAGTGAGAGCAGCGGAGCTGTTTGCTGGGAGTCGATCTGTGACATGATGTCAGTACCTCAATATTCTTTTTTGATTAATTCCCCTTTACAGTACAATTAATGATAGCCTGGTAGCAAATATTGATGTTCATTTAAACAAGCAGTTGCACTTAAACATGTTTCCCCTATCAATGTTATTCAACTGATTGAGTCCTTGCAGTGGATCCCAAAAGGAATATGACAAAGTGAACAATTAACAGAGCCACTTCACTGACACGATCAAGAATCAAATAATTATGATAACTGTACACGGATAACATAATACACTGTATTTGATGCTATATCACGATACCAGCAGTTAATGTGAGTGATTTGAAAGTGTTATATAATTGAATACAATTCTAATCTCACTCCATTATGGAAATTTAGCACAGTATAACTGTGTTGTTGTGTTGCCTTTCTCCTCGCTAACGCTAACTTATACTGAGGAGCAACAACGCCTGCAGAGCTGCTTAAAAAAGCTGGTGGTAAAATAATGCAGCGTGAACAATATGCACTCTTCTCAGTATGCATTAACATAAGTGGGCAGCTTACATTCTTACACTGCCATGAGGATCCCGCAGGCCAAACATTACTTTATGTGCTTGTGCGTATAGTAGTGCCTCCTTTGCGTAGGCTACATTTCCAATGGAAACCAGCTCTGGCAGCTTTTCAGCAAAGTGTAATTATTTTTCAGGTTAATCACATGCTGTGAGTTGCCTAGGAGGGAAATCCTACTCCATACTTGTATTATGCAGCAGTATTTGAACTGGCTGTCACTGAACACCAACACAGTAAGACAGGAGCTGCTCCTCAACTCTCACTGTTTACAAATGGACGGGTGTATGTCACTTTTATCTGGATAATGAGGAATGTTTAGCACGGGGAAGCTACGCCTCGAGTTTCACTGTCACCATATTTGGAGTTTGTTAAAAGGTAAAATGATCCCTGGATGTTTATTACAAGGCAAAGGTTACCTTAATTCACCATATAAAACTCAAGTACAATACATTTCCAGTGTGCAAACACAAGCCCTTTGTTTTAGATCACTTTTTTATGGAAATATATGTAAAGCAACATACAAACTACACCAGCCTGCTTCCACAGTGGCACAGTTTAATGTTTAGACCATGTTCTCTACACAACACACTTAAAAAACACACCAGTCATAGTCAGTTATCACTGTTATTTTCCACAGATGTGAACCATGTTTGGTTATAGGAGAACAATGGGAGCACTACAATGCTACAGATGGTCCTACCTGCAGTTAGGAGGATATTGAAGGCAGTTGGGTGCCAAGCCAGGAGTCCCACTCGTTTACTGTGTCCCTCAAGGGTCACAGTGGCATCAGTCATTGGACTTGTGAGCCCACCATCTGGGATCTGCCACACCTTCAACATAAAGCAGACATATATATGTGTGTTGTATATTTTTTACAGTTTTCCTGACATATTATTAACCTTACTGCTATCAGAGCCTTCATTCCCCTCACCATCTCCCTCCTAAACAGTTGAACTGTCACACTGCTTCACACTGCTAGACAGCAACAGCAATTTATGCACACTCTGTGGTATCATTTCTGTAATCCTGCATTTTCTGTATATAAGATTTAGATTGGTTATTTTATTGCCAGTTTATACACAGATAGATAGATAGATAGATAGATAGATAGATAGATAGATAGATAGATAGATAGATAGATAGATAAGTGCTGTCAGCGTTAATCTCGTTAAAATGACTGTAACGTCACAACCGCAATAACGTGGCAAATCTCTGTTAGCGAGTGCATTGGGCTGCATGGCGCTAACACGTTAACAATCTAACCGTGCTAACGTGTTGACGCCGTGCAGCCCTACGCACACGGCAATCCGCGCTAACTCGCTAATGTCATTTTAACAAGAATAACGCAGACAGCACTTGAAGTACATCATCATTTCTTCATCCAAATTTACTCAATACCACATTTATTTTTACCTGTTAAATATAAAGCTACAGCCAAGACATGATTGGCTTTGTTTAATAGTAAGGCTGTTAGAAGGAAAAAAACAGCCAGCTAAGCTAGTCCTGCACAATACACCTTTTAAAAGATTAAAAAAGCTCTGACATTTTAGGAAGTGACCTTTGAAGTAGCTCCATAGCTTAATTTGCTACGTTTGGTCAGAGCTAGCCTAGCTACTACCCAATTATCGATATGCATTTAGGTTCTCTTTCAACATTTCAGATTTTTATTAGTTAATATATATTTGTATTTTTTAAAACAGTATCTATATCCCAGTATAGCTTTTCAGTAGTATCAAAAGTGATTTACTTTCTGTTAAAAAATGGTAAGGTGTGCCTGAAGAAAAGACTATGGGTGCTCGTCAATCATTTATCTGGAATCAGTGACATTCTTTTAACCCCCCTCCTCGCCCAGCCGTGTCTAACAGCTGAGGAATGCCAACTTGTTTTACAGAGACCTCGCCGTAAGTTTACACAGCTGTGATCAGAGAAACAATATTACCTACACCTAAAAACTGCTGCAAACCAAGCACACACCCCTGGCAGTCGTCTCCTTCAGCTGAACAATCACTGTTTAAAAAAAAAAAAGCTCTGGAATTTCTTGGATGACTTGACAAAGCACCTAAAGTGTTGATCCAGGCTCCAACCTAACCTCAGAAATGACACGACCTCTGTCCCCACACCACACACTACAGGAAACCCTCATATGTTTTGTATTCACACCAGCACTGGCATTATGGACGGACCCAGGGCACCAAAGAGCTCTCAACTGAATTCTACTGACATACTTTTACAATTATAAGTAAAATTAAGTCATATAATATGATAAAGAAAGTGTTAAATACACAATGTTAATTATTATAGTAGTTTGAAGCACACTCAAGGTCTGCACCCTGAAGTCTGATGTGTTTTCATTAGCAGCAGAAGAAGGACCAACACAGCTTTAGTGGGTTAAGGTTGTGGCGGGTTTGATGCCTACGGACGTCAGATTACAGATAACTTGACCACAAACCACCAGCACAGAACTTCTACAAGGTTTGAAAATGTTACCTTCACCGTGCAATCTTCTGAGGCACTTGCAATGACATTGTCATCATGAGGACTCCACTGGATGTCCAGCACTGGTGCTGCATGACCACAGACCGTGGGACAGGACTGGTCGATTCTTCCACTCTGTAGAGAAAAACAGAGTGTTTCAACCATTAATGCATTATCCAGTCCTGCTAATGGTCTCGTAAGTGTAGAAAGTACTTTAGTCAGGCATGCAGCAGGCTGTTAAAAAGTTGGTGACATAATGCTTTTAGTAGGAGAGTGGAAGAAACATCGATCTACTGTTTATCTAATACTCTGTAATCTAGGAGACTGAACCTTGCTGATTGGAACCACGAGGAAGGCCCCTCCTCCACCCGCTTCAATGATAACAGCAATGAATTTGGGGTTGACTGCACAGAGTGGACTGTCCCACGTCACCCGGGACACTCTGACATCATCGATGCAGTGCTCGGCTTTCCACGCCTGGGCGAAAACATGGCGGAATTTGCTCTGCCTGACCACACCTCGCCGGAAAGACATACCTGAGGAGATTAAGATTACACAGAGGAACAGTTACAATTCAGCAACCTTAAATGGACAGATGCTGCTGAATGACAGTAAATTATTAACTCATCAGCTGAAAAGTAAAAAGCTTCTGTCAGCAAACAGTAATCAAATAAGCAGGATAATTATTAACCAAACAGCCAATAAGATTGAAAAATAAATTCTGGTTTAATCATTTGGACTGTGAAATTTTTTTTATTTTCCCGAGTAAAATATGGCTAAAACGAAATATTGTAACCTTTTAAAATGGACTATATCTTATTTAAAATGCATGTTAACTCAAACAAGCAACAATACATGCCTTCTTTATCTACTCAGATCTCCATTTTTCAGTATATTTTATGACGGAAAATAGACCTTGACTGTTACAGGATTTTTAAGAACGATACACATACCGATAATATTATTGGTCCTTGATAAGTTCACGATAGTTTAAAAATATTCTTTTGTATATAGTCAGTAAGTACTTTACCGTTTTTGTGTTTTCACTTCTAGTTAAGCTGTCGAGTGCCCACTGGTGGACAAAATAGGCAACATCAGCACTCATAGCACAGTTGAAGGGTGTTTCTCTCATCTCTTCTTTACTATTTAAATTTTCATTTATGGCCTGATATAAATGTTGATACTGATATATCAGCCAATATCTGATATCAGCTCTCAGCAATATATAATTAAGCTCCAGTGAAAATAATAAGAATTTGCCATATTTAGGACAATTAAATGGACAATTATAACACCCCACTGTATACCTCCGAAAATATAATGCTGTTATATGCACATTGCATATTTAATTGTCTGCATATATCATTATATTTTATTTTGTATATATGGTATTTATTTACTGTCATCTGCTTGGCTCTCTTTTTGCACAAATGTGGGACAAGTACTACAACTAATGAATGTGCAATGACAATAAAGTGTTAAAACTTAAAAATAAAGATCCTGTTCTTTTAAGATGAGTGTCACATAACAAAACAGATTCTTTTTGTTTTTATGAGTTACCAAGAAACACTTAGTTACACTTTCCCACTTGGGATGGGAAAATATTTGGAATTGCATAGAAATAAAAACTGGCTGAGTATGCATGCTTTATTAAAACTGTAGTCTTAGTCTTTTGAATCCCCAAACTCTGCACTAATGCTGCTAATGTTGCTGTACAGCTGGTTTAGTAAATCCTCACCATCTTCATATGGTCAGTGAAAAAAACAAACAAACAAAAAGAAGGGGCAGCCAGGACAGCGGACAAATTCTTTCATACTGGGAGCCTGCCCTGAAAAGTACAGTCAGGCTTCAGTGGACAAAAGGGCATGATCCGCCTGAAACCAAAACATGCCGTGCAGGGAGGAGAAGGGGGTTGGGCAGTCATAGCTGCTGTGAGAGGAGGCAGTAACTCTATATGGCATATACCAATGGTCAAAGCAAACGGCATATCAGCAGGTATGAAGCCTACAGAGGGCTCCAGCGTGAGGATAAAACCGCCCCAAATCCAGTTCGCTGGATTCCACTACGTCCAGTCTGCGTTTAAACCTGTGTTATTAAACAGCGCGATCTTACTGCACGATAATGTTCATTTCTATATATACCCATTTAGTAAATATGCTGCATCCTTGCACCATTTCTCTATGTGTTCCCATTGTCTGCTCACAATAGGAGGTGAGGAGACAGCAGTTGTTTTTTTCTTCTTTTTTTTTTGCAAAGAAACAAATGCAGACATGAGCAACAAAGGACCCGTTTTAGATAGTCCCACAATGACACATCTCGCGTTATTATTTTCCAGTCCAAAAGCGCACATACCTGCGGTTTTTGAGAGACCTCTCTTAATTGGAAGAAGGATCACCAAAGACTCGGGCGTGACAAGAAGAGGCCAATAAAATAATCCGCCGCCAACAGCAGTAACTTAATCCTCTCCTGTGTCCAGACAAGCGTTCACGTAGATTGCGCAGACCTATAACAAAAACGTGTTCATTAGAGGGGGACAAATCCGATTTATTTATTTATTTATTAATCCAATTCTCAGCTGTCTTCTCGTTAGTTTGCTAGGAATTGCGCCTGTCTGCTGTGGCAGAGGTCTAACCTGACAGAGCATGTCCCGCGCTCATAAAGCCTAAAAAGAGCCCGGCTGCCGGTGATGGTGGAGGGAGAGATGCGGACACCGCTTGTCCCCGTCTCCCTTTACAAACGACTGTTTTGAAGCGACGACTCGAGCAGAATCCCAGACACTTCCGCTCAAGGCAGGATGTGTCAAAGACACGCAGGAGTAAAGAGAGATATCCTCCGTCTACGTCTACATTCCCGTCGGCCAGACCGGATATGTACTACATAGACCTAAAAACGGAAAACAGACCGCTATTACGGGTACGCTGTTAGCTCAAACTATCAGCAAACCTCAATTGAATCCATTAGCATTTAAGCACTTAACTTTTAATTAGGGCTTTAAATGTGGAGTAATATATCAATTTTGGGGTTTCAAAACCTAATCGACTGTTTCTCGGAGGATTTATGCGTGTTCCCAAACTGATATCTGAACTCAAATTTAGATGAAGATGATTTGAAATGATAATGATGACAATTAACAATTTTAAAACCTTTTGCTGACATCCGGTCTTTTAAAAAATCGTTATACGCAGAGGGTTTTTTTTAATAGTCTTTGTGCTCACTACTCAGAGCTGTGTCTCGTGTTTTGGTAGCACCTTATAATACAGTGCAATTGTAATACAATATGGCGTAATTTCCAAATCTTTGTCATTATTCTAAATTTAAAGTGTAAGGGCGTATGTACAGAAAAATGAGAGAGTAAGAACTTGAAGTTTTAAAGGAAATGTGAATTTATTTATTCATCCTAACCCCCCCCTTTACATTGCAATTGCCCATTATACACATATATACTGTACATACTGGAATACACTTATTGTATTCCTCTTATTCTTGGCTTATTAATGTTATTTTATTTGTATTTTTAGCTGAACATTATTCAGAAAGATATATTTAAAAGATTATTGGAGTATAATTAAAGTATAATGTCTTAAGTCAATTAAAACAAATGTAAGGAGCACTAAGGTGTTGAATAAAATGTCAAAGAAATAAATTCATGATTTATTTGTTCCATCAATTAAATATACATTTTCCCATTCATTCCCAGACAGGACTTATAACACATTCTACTAACATCCAAGCTGCACATGAGACCTATCACACCAAAGGTGTGAGCAAATAGCGCTATACTGCAAACCCAGTCTAGAGATATACTGCAATCAATTTACCTATGGGCATGCACTGCAAACAATTTGGACCTCTGCACAGCTGGGAAGCAGCGCTATGACCTGCAACCTGGGTTTATAAAGGAAGTGGCACAAACAAATAAATGAAAAAAAAGAAAAAGAGAGAGGTTAGTTCGTCCTTACAAGACTCACTCTCAATCATTCATAACAGCCCTTACGGCTGGATGGACTAACCAATACAAAATTACAAATCAACCAAAAGAACAACAAAAGGACAGCAGAAGCAGCACAACAACAGCTGCAAAACACAAACAAGATTATCGATTATTGACCCGACAATGAGTTGAAAAGGGAACACACTTGACATTTTTTTTATTTGTAGTCTATTGTGGCCATTTAAATGGGTTTGAATGCTGTCCAGCAGTCTTCCTTATCGAGCCAAGTTGGCTACACCCACCTCATGTTCTTGGTCCCCATAAGAATCCAAATGGGGCACACTCTCATCTGTGAGACTTGACATCCCTTCCTTTAACACCACAGAATCACCATCTCCCTCTTCTGTAAACATCTGTTCCACTTTATCATTTATCAGAGGAATTCAAATCTCTCTGAACCCTTTGCATTTCTAACCGTCGCTGCACAACATCATATCCAGCAAAAGCAGCAAACTGCCAGGTCAGACTTGTTACACAAACAAACGAACACAAAACTTTCGGCTGTTCTCTTAATTACAAAGGTTTGCCACAACGAATTCCACATATTTATCAGAGTTTTACGCCAGATGCCGTTCCTGTAGACACTCCAAAGGAATTCATGTCCAACCCCGGGGCCCATTAGTTAAAAATTTTTTTTTTTATATGTTTTAATAAGTATTTTAAAAATGCATTTGAAAATATGGCTTTAATTTGTAAACATTGCACTCTAAAATTGTTGAAATAATAATTTATTTTTAAAGCCCCCAAACAATCTTAAATAATCAGGCCTCATATCATCTCAAAGACCTCATAGTACCATATCACCCCAGCAGAGCACTTCGCTCTCAGAGTGCCGGTTTACTCGTAATTCCTACACTATTTAAAAGTAGAATGGTAGGTAAAGTGTTCGCTTTCAGGCCCCTCTTCTGTGGAACCAGCTCCTAGTCTGGAGACAGACACCCTCTCTGCTTTCAAGATCAGTCTTGAAATTTCCTTGGTGATAAAGCATATAGTTAGGGCTGGATCAGGTGACCCTGAATCCTCCCTTAGTTACACTGCAACAGGTGTAGCCTTCTGGGGCTTCCCATGATGCATTGTTTCTTCTTCATTAACCCTTTTTCACTCATTATGTGTTTATAAACCAATTTCTCAGTTTAATCGTTAGTTATTATTCATCTCTGGCTTCACAGCGTGTCCTTGTCCATTCTCCCTCCTTTCACCCCCAACCAGTAAGGCAAAGAGCTGCACCTATCTCAGCCTGGTTCTTCCAGAGGTGTCTTCCTGTTAAAAGGGAGTTTTTCCTTCCCCCTGTCAGGAGGTGCTTGCTGATAACGGCTCATCTGATTGTTGGGGTTTTCTCTGTATTATCGTAGGGTCTCTACCTTACAATGTAAAGCACCTTGAAGCAACTGATGTTGTGATTTGGGACTGTATAAATAGAGTTGAATTGAAAAACAATATCATTTGTCACTCTTGCTCAGTGGTGTGATAGTGTCTAAAAAATAAAATAAAATTTCAGAAATGTTTCTAAAATGGCTGCATTGAAACAAGCTGTATTTTATCTTCTTGATGCACGCTCAATTATCCAGGCAAGTAAATCCCCAAAAGGTTGATTCTGTTCATCTGGATGTAAAGTTTTTAGTGGGAGAAATGTTTCCTCACTCATCCAAGTGACTTCTTCAGTCTCAGCTGACTGCAGGTTTCCCCAATCTACATTTGCATAATGACCGAAACCAGCCCACTGAAGGAACAATGGGCTGACCTCCGAGCCTATTGCCCAAGGATCGGGCCCCCGACACAAACAGAGTAGTATTAAGTGCCAAGAGGATTGCCATGATTTATTTATCTGGGAAACCAAACAACCTCTAGCGAAGCCAATATCACAACACAGAAGAGCTACCTTGTCAGACCAGGACTCTGCAGTCTATTTACACCTACAGGCCAGTGGACACTCTTTCAATGATGAGGATGTACACATCCTGGACAGGGAGGAACGCTGGTTTGAGTGGGGAGTCAAGGAGACCATTTATGTGAAAATGGAAAGCCATCTCTGAATCGAGGAGGCGGGCATCTTTCACCATCTTCCAATGCTGTGATTGCAGCCATTCCCCAAATCTGTGAATGGTACTCATGGCCATTGATCATGGTCTTTGATCAGTAGTTCTTGATCAATGGTCATGAGAATCTGCATATTAATGATCAAGGAACTGACCTCCAAGCCCACTGTTCCTTCAGTGGTGCTAGTTTCAGTAATTGTGCAAATGCACTGTTTATAAAATTGGGGAAACCTGCAGTCAGCTGAGACTGAAGAAGTCACTTGGATGAGTGATGAAACGTTTCTCCCACTGAAAACGCTACGTCCAGATGAACAGAATCTACCTTTTGGTGAAGCCACACTTTAGTAGAATTAGAGATTGCATTTAACAGATCTTGTCATTATTTGCAAATAAAGTACAGAGATTTTTATTTGTGTTTGTCAAAGTAAATTTGGTTAAAATCCAGTGGCTTCTCATTGTCACCAGAAATTGTGGTGGTTTTTTGAGGGTTATTCAGGTTAATGCAGCATTGTAGCGCCATCCAGTGTTTGATATACCATATTGACGCACAGAGATCATTTTCTTTTTAAAAATCCCAGGTGTTTCCCTAGGTTCCCCACATGCAGAGAAGGCATAAAAATCTAAAAACATGATAAAATATGAAAAAAGAAAGCCCTCTCTAAAACGATAGGGTGAAAATGAACGTTTATTGCTTGGTATTGTCTGAAAGGATGTTTCAATTCTGAAGTAAGGGCTCAGTTTCACATTATTTATACACAATGTACGCTATATTACAATATTCACAACCCCAGAAATCACAATCTAAAACCTTTGACAATATCACCCCCGAGTTCGACCTATTTACACTATAAATACCATAGTGTTCAACATGTGCAACAGGTGGCTCCGTGGCGCAATGGATAGCGCATTGGACTTCTAGGCATAGATGCAGACATTCAAAGGTTGTGGGTTCGAGTCCCACCGGAGTCGCATTTTTGTACTTCTTCTGGAAAACTTCGGCCATCTTTATAGTCACCTGTATTACATACCACTACATGTCACGAGTGTCAAGCGATTACAAAACAGTGATTGTAATTATTAAAAAATCGCAATGTTTTATTGCCTCCCGGGTAAATGTCTATTTTTTCCCTCTCAGTTGCGTTACACTAACATGTAAAGTCATTGTTGGTGGAATAAAGTATTAACCGTAGTTACCTTAACTGTGAACAGTGTAGCGACTGTTGCTTTATAAATGAATTAAATGTGTCAAGATGTGTAGTTTGGCTTAATGCTAAACGTAGTTAGCCATAGCTGCGTGTTTCCACACGGAGACCCAGCACTGCTGCACCGGGTGTAACCAGCGAGCTAACATTAGGCTAGTTAGATGTAGCTAGCTAGCTATAGATATTTGTGGGTGTACGCAGCTTTAGAATGAACCTTATACACGCAAATATTGAGGGACAGCAATAAAACGTGTTGCTGTCACTTCGTTTTAAAGTCGCACTGTTGTTGCCGTCGACGTCTTCGGTCTGTTTGTTTGCCCCATTAGCTGCCTTGTGTTGGTCTGTTAGCCTCCTCAGCTAGCCAGTGTCGTATGGGTATCAGAGTTAGCAGTGACTTCACCCGGCTGCTGGTTGCCTGATCTTTCATTTTGGACACGTCAAGGTAAACATTTAGCCATCGGCGAGTTTGAAAGCTAGCTAGTGATGAAGCCAATGTTTAGCATTTGCTCTTCTTCGCAATGCTTTTTAAATATGCAGACACTAGCTAAATAACTTGGAACAATCGTGTCAGATTGAGTTTATTCACTTTAAGCTCCTATCAGCGATGAATTGTTGTTACCGACACTGTCATTTATCTTAACTGGGGCTAATGTAGGCTAACCTCTGTTGTCAAGTTCGTCAGTATGTTCGGATTTATCTGATTTATTTATCCAGTTACTGTTGTTAAAACCTGTTGTTGTTGTTCTGTTTGCCCCTTAAATTACAGTAATTTTCCCTAAAAGAGAATTGGACTGAATTAGACTCAAATCTGACTCAAAACTGTTAATATTTGGACTATTTATCAGTAAGAAGACAAAATAACACTAAAAGTTTTTATTAATCTCTTCATCAGGCGAAAATAATAATTAATTTTGGTAAAACGTGTCACGAGTAGTCGGTATGTATTGATCTCTCGGCCGACCTTTGACCTGTCATTCCACACTCAAAGATCAGTGTTGACACTCATTAATAATCAATATTAAAGACTTTCAGCTTGGAAGTAGGGTTGTAGTCAATGAAAAGAAGTGAAATTGTTTGTGTTTAAGAATGTCAGAAAATGTGAATTTGACTTCACACAGTTCAAACTAACATTAAATTTGGACCATTGGTTTAAAATCCAGAGATATTCAGGTGTTTTATATATTCAGGTTATATAACAACTGTTAAAATTTAATTTGTAAGAGCTCAGTGAATTACATTTGTGGAACTTTTTATAAAAAAAAAACGTGTTCTGTCCATTGTTGTGCTGATGAAACAAGTCACAATACTAAGACTGTATTTATATAGCACCTTTGAAAGCAGAGGTTGACAAATGACATCGAGAGCTAGGGGGGGGGAAAGGTAATCAGAAGGTGAATGAAATGCAAACATCTTAACCAGAAGGCTTCACATGGGGGCCTAAAAAAACAGGATGAAAGCATGTGATTTAAAGCAAGATGCTGTTTTTGCAATCTTAGTCCTTAACCTGATTGTTCCAAACCCAGTGCACCCACATTGCAAAAGCAATTTCAGTTAAATTAAAGCCTCGCCTGGGGAACGCCGAGAATGGTCACACCTGAGAATTCAAGGAACTGGCTCCTAATTGATTCACCGAATCACTGTATCAGCCAGTCTTGTTATGTAAATGATACAACTTTCCATCTTCCCCCTCAAGGTCCCTCCAGTCTGTAGCTTAAGTTTAGGGGGTGTGATGTCAGAAGCCAAGACCCCCACTCCCACCCCTCCTGGAGACACATACAAAGGATGGGTGTTCAAGTGGACAAATTACATCAAGGGTTATCAGCGGAGGTGGTTTGTGCTGAGCAATGGGCTGCTGTCATACTACAGGTACACCTTTCTGTAGAACACTGGTATAGTTTAAGGATATTTCTCTTTTCTTTTTAGTTACTTTTTATTCCCAAAGTCAAATGAGGCTCTTCTGATTATTAGGACCCAGGCAGAGATGGGTCACACGTGTCGGGGCACCATCAACTTGGCTACAGCTACTATCACTGTGGATGATGCCTGCAACTTTGTCATCTCCAATGGAGGGGCACAAACATATCACCTCAAGGCCAGCTGTGAGGTGGAACGTCAGCGATGGATCACTGCCCTGGAGCTGGCCAAAGCCAAGGCTGTCCGCATGCAGGCAGAGTCAGGTAAAACAGACTTCAGGGGAATTATTTAGTGCTTCTGTACATATTTACACGCATGTCCACTTTGTTAGGTACACCTTGTGTCTACTGGGCTGGATGCCCTTTTCCTTTCAACAAGATTCAACAAGGTGCTGCAAACATTCCTCAGAAAATTTAGTCTGTATTTTCATTATAGCATCGCACAGTTGCTGCAGATTTGTTGGCTGCACATCCATGATGTTTAACCACACCCTAAAGGTGCTCTATTGGCTTGAGATCTGGTGATTGGAGTTCATTTGAACACAGCGAACTCATTGTCGTGTTCAAGAAAACAGTTTGAGATGTTTTGAGCTTTGTGACATGCTGTGTTATCCTGCCGGGCAGTGTACTAGATGGGTACACTGTGGTCATAAAGAGCTGGACATAGCCAGCAGCAATACTCAAGTAGACTGTGGTGTTTGAATGATGCTCAGTTGGTACTATGGAGTGGACACACTCTGGGACCTTTAGTAAAAACACCAGCAGCGGCCTGAAACATTGAATGTTGCAGCAGAAATCAAGTCTCATCAGGTCAATGTTTGTCCCAATCTTTGATTAGCCAATGTGAATTGGAGCCTCAGTTTCCTGCTCTTAGCTGACAGAAGTTGCACTCGGCCTGATCTTGTGCTGCTGGAGTCCATTTGTATGTGATGTTGGACGTGTTGTTCCTTCAGAAAAACTCTTCTGCACACCTTGGCTTGTAAAGAGTAGTTATTTCAGTTACTGTTGCTTTCCTGTCAGATGAAGCAGTCTGACTGTCCTCTGACATCAGAAAGGCATTTTTTGTCCAGAGAACAGCTTGCTCACTGAATATCTTCTCAACAGCCATGACACTTTCAGAGTCTCTTAAATCACACTTCTTCCCCTTTCTGATGCACAGATTGAACTTCAGCAGGTCGCATTGACCAATCCTAAATGCACTCAGTTGCTGCCATGTGATTGGCTGATTAGATATTTGATATTAACAAGCAGTTCAACAGTGTACCTTAGAAAGTGGCTAGCAAGTGTATTTATTTATTTATTTTATTTTATTTTATTTTCCTTTCCTTTTGTTTGATTTCCTAACAGATGACTCGGGCGATGACTTCCCTTCATCGTCACCACGCATCACACAAGGTGGTGGGTCACAAAATTCAGAAGTCCAGTCTGCTCTCAGAACCCTGAGCAACAAAGTGGAGGATCTGAGCACCTGCAACGATCTGATCTCAAAGCATGGCTCTGCCCTCCAGAGGTCAGACTTAAACCCATTTTGCCTTGCTCTTTGCTTTAATCTTCAGGCAACAGTCTCATTTATGCCTCATGTCTCTACTAGTCTACTATGTGAGCTCTAAATTTGAAGTTATAATTCTGTAGGTTTGGTAATTCAGTGCCATATTCAGATGTTTTGTACCATTTGCAGAAGAGTCCTGTTATAAAATCATTGATGTGTAAATTGACTACATATTGTCCAAACATCCAAAGTTCATATTTTTTTCAGGTCATTAGCAGAACTGGATGGTTTACGTCTGACTGGAGAGGCTGGGGATAAGATTCGCCAAGTCACAGAAAGAGCCACTCTGTTTCGCATCACCTCTAACGCCATGATCAATGTAAGTCTGACATCCTTGTGTGTTGATCTCTGAGTTTTTAATATATAATGTATATATACCAGAGAAGACCTTGTCTATGTATTACTGCGCAGCTTTTCAATGAAACCCATTGAAAAGTGTTTCAATGTTATGCTTCTCAGGCGTGCCGAGACTTCTTGACGCTGGCACAAACTCACAGCAAGCGATGGCAAAAGGCCCTGCAGGCTGAGCGGGAGCAGAGAGTGCGGCTGGAGGAGACTTTAGAGCAACTGGCCAAACAGCACAATCACCTCGAGCGAGCATTCAGAGGAGCCGCACAGGCTAATGCTAGTCCAGACAATAAAGGTAAGTTGTGATTCTGACAAGATAACAATGAAGGATGATGCACATGTCTATTGACATTCTACAAGAGTGTGAGTTAATGTTTTCAGAAAGTTTTTATTGTAATAACAGCACTTATTTTGTAAATCTTACTTCTGACCTCCATACAATAAGTAAAAAGAGTAAACTAACCCTGAAAATAATAAAAACTAAACTAAAACTAATTTTTCAAACAACAAAAACTAAACTGAAATATGAAAATCGATTCTGAAAACTAAATGAAATGAAAATAAAATACTAAACTATTATAACTCTTATCAGGTACATGTGGCGTACAACTCTTTCGAAATCAAAGATGTGGGGCCACCAACTGTTTGCATTCGACTTCGATTTCTGAACAAAACTCATTAAACCTCATTTCCCACAGAGATATTTTTCAGTGGTAATTCAAGAGCCTGCGAAAAATTTCATTGGCTTTTTATCAGGGGAACCAGGGAGATGCTAACTCCTGGGTGACCAAGATTTTCTGTGGCTGACATACAAGAGTCCTTGTGATCAAGCACTTAGCAAGAAAAATAGAATCAAGATGTGAAACTAAAAGAACATTATCAGTTTCAGTCTCATCAAACTTTTTAATTACTCCGTTATTGACTAAACCCCAATTTGAAATCCCCTTGGCAATTATCAGGTAAATGTGAAGTCAAGTTTTACAAGTAGCAGTACCCGTGATTACCTGATTCTGATTCCATGTAACCAGATGTGAGGAATTGCAATTTCCTGTTTTGTTTGTTTGTGTTAAATTTTTGTTTTAACACTTTAAATGCTCTGAATCAGAGGTGTCAAACTCCAGGCCTTGAGGGCCGGCGTCCTGTAGGTTTTAGATCTCACCCTGGGTGAGATCTAAAACTTCAATCAAATGATCAGTTCATTACCAGACTTCTGGAGAACTTCAAGACATGTTGAGGAGGTAATTTAGTCATTTAAATCAGCTGTGTTGGATCAAGGACACATCTAAAACCTGCAGGACACAGACCCCCGGGGCCTGGAGTTCGACACACCTGCTCTATATTACATGTAGTTTTATTGTTTTTGTGATACCTGGAGAATCATCTTTAAGCTTCTGTATAGGGAAAACTTAGATGTTTGTTTGTGTTAAGGTGCTGCGGGGCCAGGAAAAGGTGAGGCCAGTGATGAGGATGATGACAATGAGTTCTTTGATGCCATGGAAGAAGCCCCCGAGTTTATCACTGTACCTGCGGACCCCCAGTTTCACAAGTCGGTATCTTTCCCTTTACCCGTCGGTACAGATTGACAGATGGAGTTAGTTGGGGGGTTTTCCCCAAGACTTTGTGTGTGGCTTGTCTTTTTTTTTATATATTCAGACCACTTCCTTGTATCACATTCCAGTATGTATTTATCTTAAGTCAATCAAATTGTGTGTGTGTGTGTGTGTGTGTGTGTGTGTGTGTGT